TAAATCATAATTAAACCTTTCTCTTCTTAATTCATCCTACATATTGTTATGGTGAAGGCAACCCAAAAGGACCATGCTCACAATCGGGTTAAGTACATACCAAAATAGTTATGGACTTAGACAATAATCCAACAGTTACAATTCTCCCCCACTTATCTCAAACTTCGTCCTCGAAGTCTGCTGCGGCAGGAAATAGCTCTGGGTAGTGCTCCCTCATCTCATCCTCCGGCTCCCACGTCCATTCCGAGCCCTTGCGGTGCTGCCAATGTACCTTCACCAACTCTACCCTCTTGTTCCTCAGATCCTTCGTCGTCCTGTCGAGAATGGCTACCGGTCTCTCGATGTAGTTCAGGCTATCATCCACCTGAATATCCTCCAAAGGAACCACCGCAGTATCATCGACTATGCACTTCAGCATCTGCCGAAACTCTGCCGGCGTGAAGCCCGGTTTTTTATGATATCCTGGTTTCATCGAAGAATATTACTTTATAGAGCCGTTGTGCTGTCCGATCATCATCTTATCAGGTGAGTGCATAGTCCCTTTCATGAACATGATTTTAATACAAGTATTGTTTGAATGTATTAAATATATGTTTTGTGTGAGTTATTTGATAATGTCTGAATTAAGTGTTAAAGAACATACCTGATTGTTTATGATAACTTAGGTTAAAGAGTAAACCTAAGGTTTGTTATAATGGTTATGGGGTAGTATCTATTTATGAGTACGAGTGAGATATATACGGAGAATAGAACTTTAAAATATGTCATTGATCCGGAAGCATGGATTAGACATAGTTATTTGTCCCTAGTCCGAGAGTATGGATTGGACTTAGTTAATTGTCATTAATCCGAAAGTATGGATGAAGACTTAGTCAGTTGTCATTAATCCGGGAGTATGGATTAAGACATAGTCAGTTGTCCTTAGTCCGAGAGTATGGACAGGACATAGAATCTGTCATTAGTCCGGGAGTATGGATTTAGACATAGACCAATTATCCCTTGTCCGGGAGTATGGAATGGGCACAATCATGGACCCGAGAATATGGATTAGATCCGAGAGTAAGAGTTAAAATTTAAGGTCCAAGGGTATGGATAGTCTCGTTGAGAGGATTGACGGGGTAGGGTAAGAGTTAAGGTGGTTTATAATATATATATATATATATTATATATATATATATATATATATATATATATATATATTATATATTATAGAGAGAGAGAGAGAGAGAGAGAGAGAGAGAAATTTATATGTGTGAATTCTGAATTCTAAATTATATATATGTTATAACATTGTGGGATTGAAATCCCTATGTACTCACCAGGTTTCCAAACCTGACCCACTCAATATTTTTGTATCACAGGTATCGATACAAAGACACATTACACTGAGAGATTAAAGAGATGTATATCATTAGTGTAGATGAATGTAAGTTCGATTTATGCTTATGTATCTGTATTGACTAGGACATCCCAAATGTTTTAAAACGAATAAAATACATCTCTTCGGAGATGCTTGGATAAAGTATTTATCATGTTTTCTGGGAACAAATTCCGCAACAGTTTTCTTTAAAAGATTACTCTGATTTTAAAACAAAGCATAAACAAATCAGTCTTCACTGGCCTTGAAATTTGGGAATGTCACAATTTACGATTGCGGAGGTTAGAAGATGTATTGATGATTTCACTTTATCGAATGATATTTTTACTACTAGTGGTCTAAATATCTTCCTCGTAAAGTGAATATTTTTTTTATTGGCGCGTATGGATAAACATGATTCAAACTCGGGTTAATCTAGAGGATAAATGATTTGACTTACCTTTAATTGTTTGCGGCATTTGTAACTCGGGTTTGGAAAACCTTTAACATATCCTCTTTTACTGTCAGGTGGCTGCAAAGTTGTGTTTTATGGGCAGATGGTGTGATTTGAGCATTCCTTCATTTGTGGGGGTCGAAGGTGTTGTGAACTGGATCAACAATGTTCGTTTTTCTTCTGTCAAACGTGCGCTTTTGGAGTCTATAATTGTGACCATGTGGTGGATTCTTTGGAACTTCCACAACGGTGTTCTTTTTAATGGTCTTAATATTAGAATGAATTTCTTGATTGATAGATTGATCAACTATTCCTATAATTTGATTGTGCGTAGAAATAGGAAAATTAATGTTATTCGGTTGTCTCGGAGGTTAAACCCGATATTGCCAATTCCTTTGTAATTTTTTGTTAGCCTTGCGCTAACCTCCTCTTTTTAATATATTCAGTTGTTCGAAAAAAAAAGTTGAGGGTAACTCATTTGGTTAACCAGGTGTCTGTGTTTCTAACAAAAATGTATTGCGTTAAATCCTAGACATTTACTAACTTGCCGTTCTAAAAAAAATTATCTCGAACCATATACTTTTTTTATGGATAAATTTCGCTTTTATTACTATATATATATATATATATATATATAATATATATATATATATATATTATATACTCTTCTAATAAAACACTCTTAAATTTGCTACTTGTCATCTTTTTAAACCCCAATCCTGCCACGTGTCATTCTTTGGGATCCTATACATTATGTTTTCCCGCTCATGTATTTTCCTCTTCAATCAAATGTTTCAAAACCCAAAAAATCAGGAATTTATTTTCAAAATTTTCAATCATATCTTGACCCAAATCTCTCCTTAAAATTCGATCACGTGAATCTCTCTACAATTTAATTTCAAAATCCCTAGCTTCATCCGGTTGTAAAATCTATAAAACCTATCTTCTCACAATCTCCATTTTGGCTGCAACCAGACAACCCCTTCTTCACCATAACCTTCATTTCAGGTACGCTTCATGTTCAATGGCCCTAAGTTACCATCTACGACCCTTTCTTCAACATTCATTATTTATTTGAGATGAATTCGACATTGAAATTCTAAATTTGAAGACACTCTCATCTTTTCTCTGTTTTAGAATCCTATCCAGATTTTGATTCTTGGGTGCATAAATTGATACCGTATTTCATTCATAATATCAACAGAGGTAGATTTTTGAAAAAAAAAATGTGAATTCCATTTCTTCTATAAATCAACAGAACAGAGGCAATCATATGGTGTTGGGGTTGGAAAACTCTTCTATTAAACACTAAAATAGAATTACAATAGGAGGAGCAACTCTCACACTCAACTATTACAAAAAACCAACCCTCTCACTAACACTTTCACTCTAAGTGTTATACTATCTGTTTCTCTGTGTTTTTGGGATGCATACAACTGAAGAATGAAGTCTTTATTTATAGTCTTGGCAGCCACCATTGTAGTTGCGTCTATTAATTGTGTTCATCATAGGGTGGGAAGAAAAACTTGTCCCGTAGGTTTCATTTTGTCAACAATGATGGCTACTATAGCTTTGGAGGCTTTGGAGGCTGGAACACAACAAATCTCCCCCTCCAGTCTCCGTCCAACAATCCTCATCCCAACTATGTCAGCACATAGTCTGTGTTTCTCTTGTGTCACCACCTTTGTCAACATGTCTGCCTTATACTTCATAGTATTTCCCTTTCCGTCTTTCTTCAGTTTGAAAACCCACTTGTTTTTCAAGGCTTTCTTTCCTTTGGGGAGTTTCACCAACTCATATGTTTGATTCTTCTGCAAAGAATTCATTTCTTCTTCCATGGCCTTCTGCCAATTTGCTTTGTCAATATGAGATTGAGCTTCTTGAAAGCTCTCTGGCTCCCCCTCACTAGTAAGAAGGATGTAGTTTGAAGTCGGATATCTTCTTGATGGAGCACGGACTCGTTCAGATCGTCGAAATTGAGTTCCTTTATTTGCAACTTCTGGCAGTGGATCTGAATTATCCAGGGGTGGAAGCTCCCCCTGCTCAACACCTTCTTGATCTGCATCATCGACTTCTTCATCCACTTCTTCAGTGGAAACATCATCTTTATTTTTAGATATTATATCTGAAACTTTGGAGCTTTGTTGCTTGTTAACCGGTGCCTTGAAATCATAATACTGGTTTTCATAAAAAACCACATCTCTGCTTCGAATAACCTTATTTAGTTCTGGGTCCCATAGCCTGTACCCGAACTCTTCATCTCCATATCCAATAAAGATGCATGGAGTGGATTTGAGGTCCAATTTCTTCCGCAATTCACTTGATACATGTGCAAACGCTTTGCACCCAAATACTCTCAAGTGAGAATATGATATGTCTTTACCCGTCCATATCTTCTCCGGAACTTCAAAATTCAATGGAGCGGAAGGTGACCTATTTATTAGATAGCAAGATGTCAATACAGCTTCACCCCAGAATGGCTTTGGGAGTTTAGTCATGCTGAGCATGCATCGAACTTTCTCAACAATGGTGCGATTCATCCGTTCTGCTACACCATTGTGTTGTGGGGTTCGTGGGACAGTCTTTTCATGTCTGATACCATGTTCCGTGCAGTATTTAGAGAACTCACGGGAATAGTATTTGCCTCCATTATCTGATCGGAGACATTTTAGCTTCTTGCCTGTTTGTCTTTCCACCATTGCATGAAAAGCTTTGAAGCGGTCCAATACTTGGTCCTTCGTTCTCAAACAGTATGCCCATACCTTTCGTGACGCATCGTCAATGAATGTCACAAAATACCGGCTTCCACCAAGAGATTCTACTTCAATGGGTCCACATACGTCGGAGTGGACAAGGCTCAGCAACTCAGAGCGGTTCTTTCTTGTGGAGCTAAAGGAAACTCTGTGTTGTTTCCCGAATAGGCAGTATTTACAAGGATCCAAGGCAACATCTTTTGCCATTGAAATGGACTCCTTCTTTGCAAGAGTCGTCAATCCCTTCTCGCTCATGTGGCCTAGTCTTCTATGCCACAAGTTTGGTGATGTCTCTTCTTTAACAACATTGAGACTTGGTTGAAGCAACTTTGCATGACTTTTATAAAGAGTACCATCAAGTTTTCCCCTTGCAACAACCATAACACCTTTCAACAACTTCCAGGTGCCATTTTTGAATTGATTATCATATCCTTGGATGTCAAGAGCTCCAACTGAGATAAGATTCATTCTCAGCTCTGGGACATGCCGAACATCTTTCAACACCAATGTACATCCAACATTGGTCTTTAAATGCACATCACCAATACCAGCAATGCTTGAGAAACTGGTGTTTCCCATCTTCATGGTATCATGGTCTCCGGGTTTATAAGTACTGAATAAATCCCGGTTTGGAGTCGAATGATATGATGCAGCGCTATCAATCACCCATTCATCATCATGAGTTTCAACATGTAGGCATGCTTCCTCCTCGTATGTAACAAGGGCAACGTCTTGTGTTATGGTGACCATGGTTTCACCATTCTCCCTGCTTGGATTCTGGCTTGTCTCGGGCTGCTCTCGTAAGAACCTTCGGCAATCACTCCTTTTGTGGCCATAATAATTACAATGATTGCAATAGCCTTCGAACCATGTATTTGAAGATTTACCTCGCTCTCGTGATTTCCCTCGATCTCGTGATTTCCCATGATCTTGGGATCTTCCTCTACTTTGACCATGTCTACCTCTGCCTCTACCTCGACCTCGGCCTCCAGTTCTGCCTCCGCCTCTTTCTTTGTTTTCTGACACGAGGGCAAAAGACTGGTCTGTACCAGCTTCTTTCCTTCTGGCTTCCTCGTTCATTAGGGCATCTGTGACCATCTCCATTGTCACTTTACCACCGGGGGCAGAATTGCTGAGAGTCACAACAAGCGTCTCCCAATTATCTGGTAGAGAACTCAAGAGCAATATGGCTTGTTCCTCGTCTTTGAGAACCCAATCAGCAGCACCGAGCTGGTTTACGAGATCCTGGAACTGACTCGTATGCTCGGTTATGGACGTACCACTTCGTAACTTGTGGTTTACAAGGCGCCTCATCAGCAAGGTCTTGTTGCGTGCCGTCTTTGCCTGATACATATTCTCGAGCTTCTCCCAAAGTTTGTACGCGTCTGTCTCTTGAGAGACATGATGAAAAACACTGTGGTCGATCCACTGTCGAATTTGTGCCACCGTTTTCCTGTTTATTCTCGTCCAAACTTCGTCTGTCTTCGTGTTGGGTTTGACGCCTTGCTTTTCTATAGGCTCTGCTAAATCTTTCAGATTAAGCAAATCTTCCATCCTTGGCTTCCACATGTTGTAATTTGTGGGCGTAAGTCGAACCATCGTAATCGTACTTGTAGATTCCATCGAAAATAATTGCAAATTTATTTTACAAATATTTCGAGGAAAAATTAGATAAAACCGAGCTCTCGGTTGGATTCGGAAGCGTCAAAAATGGTGGGGTAGAATTTTTCGGGCTCAAAATATACTTTCTTGAAAAGTTATGTGCTAATTTGTAACTTTTCAGAACTATAGGGGCTAAACTGTAATTTTCGGAACTTACAGGGGCCAATCTGAAATATTTCTGCCAACCAAGGACTTTTCTGAAACTTTTCAGAACTCCAGGGACCAAAACAGATGTTTTCAGAAGAACAGGGACCGAACTGCAGTTTTTCAGAAACAGAGGGACCTTTCTGCAATTTTCTGGAACTTCAGGGGCTAAACTGCAACTTCCTGAAATTCTAGTCAATGATGACCTCACTGATGACGTCACTCCTTCTTCCCCGGCAGTCTTCTCCGGCCACCTGGTTTTTCCGGCGACTTTTATGGCGAGATTTGACCAACTTTGACCAACGTTTTGATGGCCTTCTGGTGGTCAAAAAATTACGAAAAATACATTTTCGGAATCCTTGAAACAAACCCGTTCCAACGGTGTACTCAAAAACGGATTTTGAGACAATAAATTTTTGACGAAAAAACAGAGAAATTCGTAAAGAATTCCCTGGACACCGAACCAAGCTCTGATACCAGTTGTTGGGGTTGGAAAACTCTTCTATTAAACACTAAAATAGAATTACAATAGGAGGAGCAACTCTCACACTCAACTATTACAAAAAACCAACCCTCTCACTAACACTTTCACTCTAAGTGTTATACTATCTGTTTCTATGTGTTTTTGGGATGCATACAACTGAAGAATGAAGTCTCTATTTATAGTCTTGGCAGCCACCATTGTAGTTGCGTCTATTAATTGTGTTCATCATAGGGTGGGAAGAAAAACTTGTCCCGTAGGTTTCATTTTGTCAACAATGATGGCTACTATAGCTTTGGAGGCTTTGGAGGCTGGAACACAACATATGGTTTACGTTTCAAGGTTTCAGATCATCTTTACCAGGTGTGACTAATCTGTTGATTTTTTTTCTTATTTAGCTCCGAGGTAGTGCACTCCAACACAAACTACGACCACCTTCTCTTCTTGGACCCCTCTGTAATCAACTTTTTATTTTCTTCTTACATGGGATTTTTCATGGATCTGGTTCTACATCATTTTTTCACAATCGGGTCTCTATCTCTCTGGGTTAAGCTGTCTAACAGGGTGTGTGTGTGTTTACAGGTCCTTAAAAGGGAAGACAGTGAAGATCGAATAGTTGCATCCAGGTTTGCTTCTTCCCTCCTATGCCTTCTCCTCAACATATCGTTGTCACACTTATATGATTCATCATGTATCATGTATTAGGCCCTAAAATGATCATATTTTGATTTGATCTGTCAGCTATTAATTGATGTTGGTATGGTTTTTTTTTTCTGCAAGCTAACAAGAATTGTTCTACTGCAGGTTTCTCATTCCTAAGTTGAGAATTTTTTTGGAAGCAAGACGTGGCAAGATTCTTGTGCTAGGATTTTGGAGGTTGTGTTCATTCAGAGCAGATTACTTTTGCTCAGTGATGGTAAGATTTGATTATTTATTTGTGATTGTTGGGTAATTTTCCTTCTTTTTTGTTTCTTGCCTTGATATTTTACGTATATTTGTAGATAGATGCCAAAGAGTTCCAAAGAATATTTTAATTTTGGACTAGACACTTTAAAAAACAAATTATTTCATTATTATATTCTTTTTTCTCATGGAAATTGCGAAAATATTAGCACACTAAACCTCAACTTAACAGCTTCCAACAGTAACAATCATGTTTTAGATTCCTACAGTGATTGATTAAAGCTGTGTGGATATGGCTTGCTATTATTATTATATATATATTTTCCAGTTATCTAACTTTTGATGGTTAGAGTGCCAAACTTTTTAGCTTTACATGAAAGAGCTGTAGTTTTTTTTCTTTCTAATTTGGATTCTTTGGAAACCATAGTCTGTAATTGTAATATTTTAGGGGATGCTTAGAGCGTGTTTTTGATTATATGTCTAAAAGAATGTGGTTCATGGTCGACCATTGAGGTTTTTTTTTTTTTTTTTTTTTACCGGAAATTTTAGAAATTTGTTACTATGTGGATTAAAGGGTAAAATGGTAAATGGCGCACTTTGGCTCTCAAAGTGTGAAATCTCACAAACTTATCACTAGAACAAGCATTTGGTGACTAATTTAAATAAGTACTTACACAACTATAGTAGTTTGAATAATCTTGGATTTTCGATCTTTGCTGTATTCAACAATGCCAGAGAGTCTTTGGAGTTAAAACTCTCATATTTATGGTACAATAGCTGTTATGCAGGGTAATAATAAGTGACAAAGTTGGATAACAACTCAGAAGATGTTTAGACTTTAGACCTTAATGGCGATTGTTAGATCTTGAAGCTATCAAACCTCTATTTGATATTTACCTGCATATATTGGTTTAACAGTTTTTAACCAATGTTTTTATATCTAATTATAAATGAAATATAGTGGTAATTCTGCTGTAAGTGCACAATATGTGGCTACTAAAGTTTCAGATGGAAATTTTGATGTTGTGGAGGATATTTGGAGTGCAGGTGCAATTCTATGTTTGCTAAAGATCATGTGTAAAAGATGTTAAAGGTTGATCCTACACAAAGGCTAACTATAGTTGAAGCTCATGATCCTTCAAAACTATAGTTGAAGCTCAAAGTAAGTGTTTGGTTCTTACAAAAGTAGAGATTATAAAATTGATGTTGTTAAGAATTTGAAACTGCTCCTGAACCGCATGTTTTATGTGTTTCGCTTTAACTATTTGACAAGTTGGTGTTGTTTGAATCTCCTGTTATTGTAATCTTTGTTTATGCTTTGAACTCGTTGTATTAGTCCAACTTCCTGCTGGTCTTTGGTTCTTTTTTAATTTGTTGCCATTCCAAAAATAATAATTACTCTTAAAAAGTTGGTTATTATAGCATCTTACTTTCTATTCTTCCTATTCCTGCGTTGTAAATAGCGACAAACTTTAATTAATTATTTATATGATTTTTTTTTTCGCTTTTGGTAAATGAAATTAATGCCTAAAAGATGTTTTTGCATGTATCAATTTACTTGCTTTTCTTTGATTCTTGCATTCTAATTAGCGATTAAATCATCTTTTTATTCCTTTTATGGTGTGATTTGCAATAAAGAGCACCAAACATTCTATTTTTTTTTTACTTCCTCTAAATAGGTAAACTTTTTATATATTTGCTTTTTTCTGCTATTTGTTGTAAATATACACAAACTTTTTATATATTTGTTTATTTTTTTTTCTTTTTATCATGTAATAAATGAAATAAATACAAAAAAGTTGTTTTATTTGGATTATTGTTTGATATTTTCTTAGTTTTCTTTTGTGTCTTGCACTAAATAAAATAAATTCCAAAAAGGTTATTTTTTTATTTAAATTATTATAGCATCTTACTTGCGTTGACTATAATATTTCGTTGTACTTTATTTTGTTGAATATTTGTTATTATAGGTAAATACATCACAGTATGTCAGTATTTTAGTTGGGTTACACTAATTTCAAATAAAACAATGTTATTTCTATGATTGATTGTCTTTGTATTTTATTGAGTTTAATTAATTTTCTATTTCATTGTACAACATGGTCATATTAATTTGAAATAACTATATGTTGTAACTCTTTATAATTTATTAATTATTCATATTAGGAAAATATGAAGTATGATGCCCGACTATATTTAAGTAGATCTTTTGGAAAACAATGCTACAACAGGAAAATATACAGTATGATGCCTGGCTTAAATGCAACAAATAGAATGTTGTAATAGAAACTAATGAAAGTAGGATGTTATAATACACAAATAAATCAAAGTGCATTGCTATATATGTCATTTAACCTATATATATATATATATATATATATATATATATATATATATATATATATATATCCTATACTAATTAAACAGTACAAAAACGTCACGTGGCAATCTCTCAGCCTTCCCCAAGCTATTTTTCCCGCTCAAATGTATAAGTGAATTTCCAAAATTGCCCATTTGGTCAATTCAACTCACAGTGGAGAAAAATCAGGAATAAATAAGGGAGTGTCAATTCACCTTCTCTCCGGCTCTACTTTTCTTTCCTTCGTTTTAGGCATGTAATCCATCTAAATCAGGAATCCAAATATAGAAAAGATGATATTATCCCAATAAATCAGAAATTTGTGCCGCGATTCAAACCTTCCCCCAATTTTCGGTCTATCATCTTGCATTCTTCCAAAATCAGTTACCTAAATTATGTGATCTCCTCCAATCTCTCACACGTTAAATATTCTTATGATAACTGCTTGTGCATAGCCCTTCTCCTTCTTCGCCACTCTTCTCATGTAACTTTTTATTTTTTTGGTTTAGGCAAAAACAGGATCGCATCCTCAAATTGTAAAGACGTATCCTCAATTTAATTCCTTTGGACCTGCTAAATGCTCCTTCAATCATAATCGAAGGTAAATCCATATGTGTTCGTTAATTTCATTCTTCTTTTCCTTCAATTTCTCAATAGCCAATAGGCCACGATGTTTTCAATTTTTATTCTCTTTCCTGTTTTTGTTCGATTCATCCCAGGCCAGTAAACTAACATGTGTTTTCTGAAATTTAATCAATTTTTGTGCTTGATCATTTTGTGTATGGGGTATTTTTTTGATGGGAGTAAGGAACTCAAAGAGAAGACAGTTACCACTCTTCACGCCAAATCCATTCAGCAGATATAACCAAAAGCATAGGGAAAATATGAGGTATTAAACAGTTTCTCTATTTTATTTTGTTTGTGGGTTTTGTTGCACCAATAGTTGTTGGGATATCATAATGCATACCAACCGTTCGATTAAATGATTGGGTTAAAATACTGGGAAATAACTCACATTATTTGGTTTTTGTTGGGATATCATAATGCATACACCGTGATATTTTTTTTGCAGATATCTGAAAGGTGTTGAACACTTGCAGATTGTTTCTTAACGAAAAACATACAAGTTAAGGATATTTATCTCACTATCCATCCATACAGGTTAGTGCATTCATTTTAATGCTAAATGAAAGACTAATTGGTAACTTCCTTCTGCCTCTGTTTTCTTTTTCTAAAGTCAATAAATGCATCATTTTTATTCATAAAATTCTGAAATACTGAAGACCATTTTTGTATTTTTTTTTCTGGTGTGTTGCTAAGTTCTTCCTTCCGGTTTGAGTTTTTAAGAGCAAAATAGTCATTTAAGAGTTAACTAAAATGGTTGTTAGAGTTAACAACACATAGACCAAAGATATTGAACCTTGAAATACGGATCAATATTCAAAATGTTTTAATTTTGGACTAATAACATGAAAATCATAAAGTATAGGGTTCATCTGTGTGATTTCTCCTTTCGGTGTTGCCATTTTTTATATTTTAGATTTTGATTGTTGAAAACGTTCCACTTTTTTGCCTCTAAATCAACGAAGGTGTTGCAGGATTTGATATATTTGTTTGGATGCATAGATGGTTAGGTATATGCAGTAGGGGAAAGAATTAAGTTCTACAAACAAATAAAAAGGTGACCATATTACAATTGTAATTGGAGAAAGCATTTTTTACAAACTCTGAACAAAACTTTGAGTTTGAGAACATCCACCTTAGATACCTGATGTAATGTTCTTTTGCTATTGCTTACATTTTTTGTAGTATATAAATTGTACATTGATTAATTTTAATTTTTGCAAGACCTTTTTTATATTTGTTTAGTAGTTGATTGATTATATTTGCGTTTGTCTAAATGGCATGACTACATTTATATTAATGTAAATGACCGATTCGTTGAATGTTTATTATTTTTAGTTAACATAGAAGTTTTGTAATCAACAATTATAATTTTACATAAATAAAAAAAAACATAAATCTTTTAATTAATAATTTATTTAAAATAATTGATTAATAATTATGATTTTTACCATAAAAAATTAATTATTTTTACAACCGTGGTTTCCACGGGTTATAACCTAGTATAT